GGGAGGAGGTAGAGAAATCGGGAATGCTAGGGTGGCTTGATGGGCACTTGGCAGCCAGTCAAGGTCAATCCACCACATAGATACAGTCAACTTGTTGTTACAGTGTAGATCTGATAGAATTACAGTCTTTGCATTGCCCTAGCTTCTCCAATATTTTTTGTATATTGATTAATTACACAGTATTCTCCACTTGTTTGCTGTTTTTTAGCAAGTGTCAGCCACTGCTTGTAACAGTGGAGGGCTGCTGGTATAATTAAATCAGAAGCTGGTAGTAGATGCTCTGTCTGCTGTTTGATAAGTTGGGGAGGGGGAAATGTGTATCTGGAAGTAGAGGACCCTCAATTTCAAAATGAAAGAGTTGGGGTTTGTTGTTTTTTGTTTTTGTTTTTTTTTTTTATTGGATATTGTGGCCTTCTTGAACAAGTGTCATAATACCCCTTGATCAGTTTGGCCTTGCTTATGAATTTTGAAACTTTAAATTGCTCCAAGTCATTCCTGGTCTCAGACAAGATAGACTATATGAACTGGTATCTATCTGTCAAGTTATATAGATATAAGGCAGAAAAAATAAGATGAAGCTTTGACATAGGTTATATTAAATAAATTGTGTACAGTTTCATAACAAAACGTATTTCAGTTGTGAACTGTCATCTCCCTTTCTTTTTTACTGTACTGGTTAAGCACTACTGTTTTATCATGCTTACATACACTATCATACTTATATCAGAAAACATGTAATTTTTCTCACAGATTTGAGACTTCTCAGAATAATTAGCCTTCACCACCATGAAGTCCTAGAGGAAAAACTGTCTGCATAGTCATTGCTACCTTCAGGATATATGCAGGTCAATAGATAACATTTTCCTGTGTCCCATTTTATGTAGTAATTGTGGAATTTGTTTCCTATTATTGTAACAGTTAATGCATATGAGTGAAGACTATACTTCACTGAAATACACATATCTGTGTAGTTTAAATCACACACTTTTGAGTTTACTACAGATACTACAGTGTGTCTGATCCTTAGGTGTGATCCTCAAATAAGCTTGGAAGAGGAGGTGTGAAATAAATGCTAAAAATGATTTGTGGGGAAAAAAAGAAAAAAAAAAAAAAAACCAACCAGAAATCTGACAGTTTATATTTAGCAAACATACGAGTTTAAACTAGGTATTTTTTTAACACTGAATTTTTTGAGGTGGTTGATTAAGTCTTCACAAACAGAACACAGATAATTCTCCCTTATGCCTTCCAACTTTTGAACCTGATTTTTCTGATTACAAAGAAAAGCTGCTGGATTATAGAGTGATGTTTTTCCCTTCCTATTCCTTCCAGAAGTAAAAAAAATGCCCAATTGTATGAAGATCTGAATTTTCCCTCTGGCTGTGAACACTGAACCTGAGATAAACTTGTGTCAAGGCTTTAATGGTTTAGAGAACAAAGGGGATTTGCTTGTGTTTTTTCCCCCTCCCTTCCTCTGAGTTCTTTAATAGGTCTGCCTCATAAAAATTTGGAGTTGTTGAGTAGTGGAGAAAAATAAGCCATCACAGCATCGTAGATCTGCAAAGCAACTTTACATTATTTGATTTGGTGCCTTCAGATGGTCTGATGTGGTATATTATGAAACAAAGATTTATCTGCTTGCTAGACTTCCCTGTTTTGTAGGAAGGGAAACAATGCTATACTTCGTGTTCCCTTCTACCTTCTGTATGTTTACCCAAACTATCCGTGGAGAAGTTCTTACTTTGAGCAATGTAAGGAAAGCACGTGTTCCATGTGACATCGCATCTTCCTGTCTTTGGTAATTATAACAGTGGACTCTGCTCTGTAGTACATCCTTCCTTTCCTCCATTACAGTTTTTCTGCTTGGGCAACTGACCACAAGAAAGGTGGACAGACAGACAGATTGGTGTATGTGTGTCTGACTGTCTCTCTATGATAAATATATATTGCAGAAGAGTGGTGGTGTGGAATACTTGCTATGACTGTCCTACCACACCCATTTTCTGGTATTGGCAGCCATCTGTATTGTAGAACACCAGTGCTTAACAATTCTTTGTATATATGGAGAAGTAAAATTTGAATAAGCATAAGACTTATTTGAACTAAATCACATTGAGTAGTTTCCTACATTTACTTAAATGCAGGTCTCTTGTTTCATTCTGGTTTTGAAGCATTGTAATTAGTTGTATGCTCAAGTAGGTCAGATCACAGGTATGTGGGGGAGGGTTATTTGATACTTAAAAATGAATTTTACTATTTTGGCTTGAGACATGAGCTGTGAGTTTAGTTACTTTAACTGATGTGATAAATGACTGGAGATACAATCCAACAGGATTTTGTGTGACCCAACACTGCAGTTTTGTACAGGAATTTGTTTACTGCTCCGTGTTTACAGTGCTGTGGATGCATGTGATCTTTAAAAAAACCCCCCCCCCCCCCCCCCCCCCCCAAGAGCTCAAGATATCTCTTACAAAATAAACGAATAAGTTAGGAAAACTAGGTATGTGTGTTTTGCATTGTTAGGCCTTAGGAGCTTTGCTGCTTCAGAAACTTTTGAGACCTGAGCAAGTAAGACTAGGTGTGAAGAGAACAGCCACTGAAAAAGAGGGGGCAAACGGTGTAACATATGCTCGTTTTGAGGGATTTGAATGAAAAAGAGTATCTTACTTCATTGTTTCTATGAACCATGTAGTGAACTTTTTCATATTCTGGAAACCAAAACATAATTCTCAGAAGCTGAAACGACTGGACAAAGTGAACTCATTGGCTGCAGATAGTATGATATAGGTGTGTCTTCCCCTGCCAGACTTCTGGTTATCAACTCACACGTACAATCTCTGCTTCCAGTCCTTGTTGTTTCCAAGGCATATGTTCTGCTTATACGCGTGTTTCAAGAGACTGCTGGTGGTGCTTCTTTTGGAAGTGGTGTGTTTTTTCCACAGCTCTACAGATCTCTGAAGTAATAACAAAAGGAGACGATGTATCTTTTTGTTAAAGGCTTTTTCGTTTGTAAATGTTGGCCGTGGAATTCCTCTTGTCTCTTCAAGTGTGGCCTCTGGGGCTCGGAGAAGGCGTGGGTAGCTGTGACTCAGTGAGCACATCAGCTTCCATAGGATCTTTGGCATCTGGCTGTGGGTGGCTGGAGCCTGTTCCTGTGGAAGAAGCAGGAGGAGGTTACGCTGCTGCTCTTGCTGACTTTCCCATTCTGTGGAAATTCCCAGCGTGGAATTTGCAGTCTCTAAACTCTCTGCATTGCAATACAGTAAAATATTTTTATTTTTAGATGACTTTTTATTTAAATAACATGGCTGGAGTTTTACAAGAAGTGTTAAGTGTTCTGCTAGATAATCAACATTGTAACAAAATCCTAGCAACGTTGAAGCATTGTTAAAGAGGGAAGTCTTGACATCCCACTCTTAAAATGAAGAGTTTTCTTCCATCCTTTTAATGGATGGATGTAGATTGTGACTGTATCCAGCCTGAGTGTTAAGTTGTACTTCTGTTTAGTGAAAACACTGAATACAACAGTCCCTCGACCTGTTATCATATAAATTAAGCATACTGTCAAGTGCTTGGCAAGCTAGCTGCTCATAGAGGAAAATCCAAGTGCATGACTTTTTTTCCTTGTCTTAATAAGAAGAGAGGTCCCACTGTGAATTCATATAGTACAGTGGACGTGGTATTTTATTTTCTCCCTGTATTATTAACATATTGTCTGCAAGTTAAAGTGCAGTCTACTAAACATGTCTGAAAGACTTTTTTTTGGCACTTGGAAAAGAAAGTTTCCTGCCACCAATGCAGAAGTTGAAATATAATTTCTGCAATTCCAAAAAAAAAGATATTAAAAAAAAATCATATTTTGATTTGGAGTGTTGGCAGTCTGATTGAGAAAATCATATGCAGTTCTGTTTTGGAAAAGTATGTATTTTTAGACCGATTTCCTGAGGAAATGAAGCTTATATGATCATGTTGTCCATCTGCACATATTGGTCCTTCCTGAAAAATTGTTAAGTCTTGTCATCTGATTTCAGGCAAACTTGAAACCCGAGGTGACATTTTGAAGATGATTGTTTCTGAATTTTGGGAAAATCCTTGCTAATTAGAGGAAAGAGACCTAAACTTCTGCTCTTGCTGAGAAGAGAGACAGAACATGGCTGGTGTATGCTATCAGTAGTCAGCTAGTCAGTTTGCACCATTTATATTTGCTGTTTTCTGCTGAGTAGTAATATTGTAGAAGCGGTAGAGAGTAGAGGGGACTGTTGCGGCAATGGTTGAGCTTAAAGGAAGAAAGATACATTTCCATAGTGAAGTGAAGCTTCTTTAGTTTCAATGTGCACAGCAAGGTGGGTTGAAGTTTTCCGGGCTGAATGGAGTTGTAAAAGGAAGTCACTTCATCTGTGCACTTGGAATCCTTCCTTTTTAAGCTGTAGATAGAACAGTTGGTAAAACCCACACCAGTTCTTTTTGTTGTATTGTGTCTTTAAATGAGGCGTTTGAAATTAAGGTACATGAATTTAAGCTTATTCATCACAAAAAAATAGCTTTCCTATAGCTCCATTTTAATGCTCTGTAAAGGCTGGATTATTATATTAAACAAAAATAACATCCCAGTAACTTTTGTTAAGGTAGGGAAAAGCTATGTTGTAAAACTACAATTGACACATCAGAACTGCTGGTTCAAAATTCTCTGCTTCTCTGCAGTGTAAGGCTGTGTTAGCAGGTGACAAGTTACAGGCTAAATTTTGACTTTATCTTTTGGGGTCTGTAGTTGTGTTAACTGCATTTAATGCCACTACAGATCTGTTGTGTTTAAAAGAAAATAAATTAATTCACTCTCTTTGCCCTCTCTCTCACATATCTGTATACACACACATATATGCAGGTATGTATACACTTTCTTTTTTAAGTATTTAGTAGTCAGTGGAAGTTTAAGATGATGCCCATGTGAGTACTTCTGCAGTTGTCTTGTTTTTTAAAATCGACCAATTTCTGTTTTACAGTGCCTGAAAATGACAACAAAGCGGAATTTGTTTGTGCGGCTGGTGCCATGCCGCTGTCTTCGTGGAGAGGAGGAAACAGTCACTACACTTGATTATTCTCATTGCAGCCTGGAACAGGTGCCTAAGGAGATTTTTACTTTCGAAAAGACCTTGGAAGAACTCTATTTAGATGCTAATCAGATTGAAGAGCTTCCAAAGGTATGTTGGGTGGTTTTCCTTTTAGTTTATTTATTACTTCTGTTACTTGATTAGCACTGTAGAAGCTGATAGTGTCTAGCTTCCCACTTCAGCTTTTAGGCTGCAGTTTGCCAAATATTTTTAAGTAAATGTTGGTCCCAGAAGCAGCAGCCCTGGTAGAATGAATGTTTACGTGTTCCAGCTTGACTGGTTTGTTGCATGAATTGGGATGAAACTGCTTAAGGAGCTGATCCAGCCCAAGAGAGGTACATAGCAGAAGCAGCAGGCTAATTTATTTCTGTGGCAGTGTCTGTTCAAACTGACTAACGGTATTCAACAAATTGCGGCATTTTGAATCTCTGGTAACACATGAAGATTAGAAGAAACAAGATTAATGCCTTGTTCAGATCTCCGTGCCCATAAAAGATAGCAACAATCCTAAGTATCTATTCACTTGAAGTCCTGCTTTCTTCTTCAGTACACGACTGAAGAGACTTTCTGAAGTATCTCAGATTACTTATGTTTGAAAACTGAAGAGCTGGAATGCCATTTGGATTACATCTTTATTACAGAAATTAATATTTGTTGTTTCTTCTGAAATCTGAAGACAAACTGCTAGCTGAATAAGTGGTATACTAGAGAAGAGAATGAAAATTTTTGCCAGTGAGACTTTTGAGAAGTAGAAAGTGATCATTGCAATAGACTTGTTTCCATTACTAGGTCCTCTCTTGGTAGAATTAAATAATACTTTAAATAATTTAGTAGTTAGATGAAAGACTTAATATTATTTTGTCACAATTGTGTGTAAATCTTCATTGCCATGCAGGACAACTATGGAATGCTTTGTTAGAATTTTTTTTTCTTTTGGGGTTTCTATAACCATTTCAGGTTTTGCTGGTTTGGACTTTTTGAAAGATAAATGAAACAAATAAGGAAATAAAACAGTTTCAGGATAGCAAATTGACAGGTATCAGAAGCTCTGGATGCCAGTAAAACTGACTTAAACCTGCGGAGTGCTTTTGAAAATCCAACCTTAAATGCTCCAGAGAAGCTATCAATGAAAATCTGTATTTGTATGTTGAATGAAGCTAACAATATATAAATTAGAACTAGACATTTTGTCAAAGTCTATTACAGTTCAGAACTTCTGCTATTTTCTTCTTGTCTCTTCCCAAGCAGATGTTTCTTTGCTCCAGACTTAGTCACTTCACTTCAGGTTTTAGTAGTTTGTTTTGTATCAGTCTCCTGAGGTTTTTTCTTTCAGATGATTTCAGAATTTCATTCCTGTCTCTCATTCTTATTGGAGAAGAATAAAATTGAATGCTTAAGAAACAGAATAAAATATCTTTTTTGGGGGAAAAAAAAAAAGGAAGTCTTTTGAACTTGTCTTGCATTAAATTCCTATTTCCCATATCATGAGAACTAAGCAAACATTTTCCTCACAAACTCATAATTCTCTAAAAAGTTCCTTTTAGTAACCTTAAAAGAGGAAGAAAGACTGTACTGTAGTGATCAAATGGATGCATGTTGGTGTTTTAGATCAGAAGAAGTGGCTGATCTACTTTGTCCTCCTTTTCTGTTACATGCCATTTGGTTTCACTGGTCAGTTCCCATATGAAATCCAATTTTGATACATTAGAGTAAACTGAAAGTTGGGCAGCCTACTGCTTGCCTTGCTCTAGTCTAAGATTGAATCATCCATGCAATTGAAAGACTGCTTGAACGTTTATGTTTTGTTCCTTTTTGCTTTTCTATGCTGAACGGCAGGGACCTGTAATAGCCTACACTTGCTTCATATTAATGTGTTTGTACATTATAAGAAGTCATCCTTATAGGCTTATTTTTGAGAAGCTAAGCATTTTTTCAGCTTTGAAGTAATTTTGATCATTATTTTTTACCACCCTTTTCAAAAGAAAAAAATTTAAATGCTGTAAAGGAAACAAGCAGAGAGATTAGGGAGTAGTGAAAACATAGTAAGTGTTTTATTTAATCATAGACAGAAATTGTTATCTTAAAACTATCCATAGTAGATCCGTAAGGGGAGGCCTGTAGTGTTTGAAAACAATCCTTGCCAATTGGGAGCCAGAGTTTCAAGCTGCCTATGCCTTTTCCCCAACCCAAGCTTGTATTTAGTCTTTTAACTCTGAAAAAGGCTGCTAATTAAACCATCTCAGACAAAGGGTGTGGTACTTATTAGGCTGTCTACAGCTTTCTAAAGCCTGCCTAAGACATTCCCACTCTTGCCCTTCCTTCTTTTCCCTGATAGGTGTATTCTTGTCCCAGTTTTTGTAGTCTGCCACCCTTTGTATGCCATAACACAACTGGTTTGGGGGTGTATTGCCAACCTGATCACTGAAATGGGCTGTCAGGGTGTGTGGCTGCTTTTCTTTTTAACTGCCTCCAGTTTTTCAGAACTGCAGCATACCTACAGCACAGCTACTTAATTTAGTTGACTGGCTGAGGGTGCAGCATGAGCAAACTGCGGTGGAGAGAGATGGTGGTAGAGAAGGACTTTGCTTTACAGGAAGTGCTGGTGTGTAGCCTCAGTTCTGAAAGTGACTGGGCATTTGAAATACTTTCATCTTGTGTGCTAAATCATATCTGATAAGGTACCCTGTTAATCCCAAGCACCATGGTGTGCATTTGAGCTGAAAAGCTCCAACTGTAGCAGTTTTAGTTTTTCCTCTCACGTTGCTCTTCAGAAGAAATTGGAATTCTGCAGTAACATAGTCCTTAATTAAATGACTTCTGATGTTTACTAACAGGAATGATGATCTACTTAATCACTGAATATGCAAACATTAAAAAAACCCAACAACAACAAAAGGAACAACTACAAAGTCAATACCATACAAAACTCATGGCCCCCTCCCCATTTTCCCTTAGGGATCTTGCAATTCCTTGTGCTGGACTTGCTTTCACCTGACTAACTGGGGAAATTTCTAATGATTCCAAGATTCCAGATTATTCTTTTCAAGGATGAGTTTTAGGTATATTTTCTTGCTTGAAGTACTGAAATAAAGGAATAGCTCCAAAACACATGAGCTCATCAAAGTTCTCCTTCCTATATAATATCCTAAGTAACTTGTAAGTCTTCAAAGCCTTAATGATATCAACTAGTTCTCACAGGTGCACTTTTCTGAGGAATTGGAAACATCAGTAGGCAAGTTAAAGCTCATACCTGGAACTGTCCATCTTGATAATTTATGCCTGCTTTTGTTCTGGGGTGGTATATGCAAATGTTACATGAGTGGGACTTGTTCAATGGTCTGTGGTTGAAATAATGCCTTCGTAATTGAGAGAGACCCAAGAAATTTTGGTTGAACTAAGCCCAACTACGATGTTCATTGGGATAAATTTTTTTAGTCATAGAACACTTCCTGGTTTAGTATGATCTTTTCTCAGAATTCCAGAAGAACACTAAATCCAGATATGAATGATCTTATCCAAAATTGTTGGGAAAGGAATATTCATCATAAGTTGTTCAGATGAACCTTTTAAGCCACTTTCTTACAGATACTTACTTTGTACTATCTGTAATCTTCCTGCATATCATTTGAGGATTTTTATTCCATTACATTAATATTACTTGCCCTATTTTGTCAACTTGTAAAGCTTTTGGGTAAGAATCTTGAGGTACCTTGCATATAGGAAGAGATCTGGCTCTGAGCTAATCTGTGATACAAATTATAATGCCTGTATATAGAAGAGATCATACATTGCCTATATCCTTAGACCAAACTTTCACTAGTTTTCATCATAATTGTGTTGGATTTTTGTGTACTTGAGCTAGGAAGCATGGAAGGGAAAAAAATATTGTAAGATACAACAGAAGGGAATTTAAACTTTTAGAGAAGATAGTTCCAGAACTATTGGACTTTTAAAAATGCATCTATCAATGTTTTTTTCTTTGAAGAAACTGTAATTGCTTCTGGGGTATGGCATGGCATGTCTACTATGGAAAGTATTTTGTGATGTTTGCAGGACTATGTGTCACTACAGGTCACAATTTCTGAGTTACTGGAAGGAATTTGTAGGAAGTGTTAAGCATAGCTGCTGGCTTATTGTGACTGCAGGTTTTTTTGCCTTCCTAAGCATTGTAAACTTAGTAAATTTTGAATAAAAATAGTTACATAAAGATTTTGTAGTCAAAGACTCTAAATAGTCTGGCCTTCAAGCTGTGAGGTCAGAAGTTTAAAGGGATTAAAAACAAAAGCTATACAGAGGAAACTAAGAGAAAGTTGCATTCACTTTTTTCTTTGTTTCAATAGCAACTTTTTAACTGTCAGTCTCTACACAAGCTGAGTTTGCCAGACAATGATCTAACCACATTGCCAGCATCCATTGCAAATCTCATTAATCTCAGGGAACTGGATGTCAGCAAGAATGGTAAGTCGCTTCACTTATTATATCTGGGTAGCTAAAAGGCAAATCACCATTGACTGTACAAAGCCACTTAGTGAAAGTATAGTTTCTGGAAGCTACATAGCTAGTAAATTTTAAATTACTACTCTAAATCACTGCTTAACTTAAAAGATGCTTTTTTGTGGTCTGGTTGTGATATTTAATTGTATCTCTCAAATTGATTGGTTTGTACTTTGAGTTTCGTTACTGAAAACTGCTACTGTAAAGTATTTTATATTCTCTCAAAATGCATATGCTCAAGTTTATTTTAGTGGCCTTCCTCATGCTTTGCACTGAAGAGAGTTTGCACAAAAACTTGTAAAATGTTGCTGGATTCTATTCTTATATTTTGTTTCATATGAAAATAGTTTTCAGTTTATTTTAATGCGTTGTCTGAAAATTGTAGTAGGACTTGGCTGCTTTGCTCTCCGGCTCTAGAGATGGTAACCTCTGTCGCATGGGAAAAAGTGACTGTGGACAATGGCTGGTTTGCTTGTCTGACTTGTTAAAAATCTATCATTTTGTGTGAGTCAGCCTTTTATAAATTATGAAACATTGTCAGCCAAGTATTGTATACATGGGGTTTTATTAATAGTGCTGCTTTGACAAGCTGGCAGATGTGTGCAACTGTGAGGAAATTGAAATAACTTATATTGTCATCAGACTTATTTGTGTGGCTTACTTGACATTAAAGAAAATTTCAATCATGCTGGTTGATGAGGATATAATAGTCTTGCCTAACTAATCTGAAGTGAAGAGGACTTCTCAAAATCATATTTGAATATAAGAATTACATAAATATGCCAAAGATTTTATCATACTAAATTCATTGTTTTATTTGGACAGTGAGCTAATTATGAGTCCATGAAGTTAAGTAAATTCTGCTCTATTAAGAAAGTATTCCAGTTGTTGAGGTGCTGGCATTCTCCTTGATTGTCCATTGTAGTCTAAACTGTTACTTTACTATTTCTGCTTAATGAACGCGCCATTTAGTATGATAAATTGACCTGATTGTCACTGCTCTGTTCTTGGTACAAGTGGATTAATAGTCTTTCTTAAAGGACACTGGCCTTAAACTTTCATAGTGACACACAACAAAGAAAGAATCATCTTTTTGTCCTAGAGTGAACTGTTGAAAGGATTAACTGTTTCCAACACAAGTTCTCAATGCAGAAGACTTGAAAGCAGTAAAAGGGCATTTGAGTTCTATTGCTGGCAAATTCCTTAGCTTATGTACGTAAATAGGCAGCTGGTCACTTACCAGCTAGAGAGTTACTTGTCTGTCCAAAATGGCGTAACCTTTAGCTAAGCCTTCAGAGAGCTGCTGACAGAACAGTTGTTCCTCTGAGGCATATGAAGAATTCAAGGAGGCAAAAGCTGAATGATACGCTATCCCAGTAAACTGTGAAGCTCTGTTTTCTAGGGGCTGTTTTGTTTTGGTTTTAACACCTTTCAGAGAAATGACAGGACACAAGCTTATTTAAAGTGTTATCATGTGCCTGTTCTCAATCTTATCACGGTTTGGATAGCTTCTCTGCCTGCTGTTGCACATCAAAAATAGTGCTGAGGTAACAGGCTTGTTTACTTGGGACATCTTTTCTCCCACTATTCCTGAAAGCTTTGTTAAATTCAAAAAACCGAGTCAGGGTCCCTGTTTGTTCCTGTTGGGTGAGGTAAGAAATAGTCCTGCTTATTCTGTAATAGATCTGGTATTTGAGACTTCAGTTTTTTGGCTTAAGTGCCTTTCCCTTTCTGTCTCCCTGTCCACTGTTGCAACCACAGAACACTTTTTTCTTGACAACTGCAAGCCTATTCTCTTCCTTGTGCCTCCTTTTCTCTTACCAAGAGTTTACTGCTCAGTTTCCCACTGTCCACGATTGTTCTGATGTGTGTCTATAATAGAGCCAAATATGAGGAGTTTTACTATTTTTCCAAGACTAGCAGAACTGATCAAAATCTCTGGTTCTTCCTTTTTCTTTGTTAGATATTGAAAGAGTACAGTATGGGAGCAGTGGATTTTGTGGGAAGCAGAGATTGCTTTCCCCTAATTTATAAAAAAAAAAAAATACTGGATATTAATCACCAATCTTAGTGCAGGATGATGAGATGCCAAATCCTAAAATAGAGTGTGTTTTTTCAGATTCCTATGGTTGTGGCAAGTGAGGGTTCCTGTATTTTTCTTGTAGTATTGATATACCGTAGGTGTTGTCTTCTGATGTGGATGGAGCTGAATCATGGAGTGCAGAGGCCTTTAGGTCAAACGTATTTAGTTTTAAAGGTTGCTTTTCAGAAGGGTGGCTAGTTAGACTTTAATTTTCAAATACCAGCATCCATGAAATATGATACGATTTTTCATGTAGGTTAGTTGAGCTGTTTATGGCATAGGCATAATCAAATATATTGATCAAAGAGAAGTATTTGATTTCCTAAAGAGCTGATAGAAAAATGAAGAATGAAGCTTCAGTTTTACAATGTGTTCAAGTTAATTCATGAATTGTAGAGTCTGGCTTGCAGGGGGAGACCTGTTGCACAGAAGAGCATCTAGCTTTCCAAGTAGAACTACGTATGTGTGTGCATAATACTTGATACTTAGATAAAAAATCAAAATTGCAGAAATTCTTCAAGGCTTGTTACACAGAAGGTATTAATCAAAGAAAGCAATCATTATGATGTTTTAATAGCTCATGAAAGGTCTTGCCTTTTTAACTTCAAATTTAAATGTGTTTAATTTGATATATACTAGATCTAAAACTGTAACAGAGACACGGCAGATGTGCAAATGTGGAAACTTAAGATTATTTAATCAGAACAAGGATTCATCTAGTCTAGTGTCTTGTCTCCAAAGGTGACCAAAAGCAGACAGAAGCCTAGGGAAGATTTAATAAAGTACAGAAAGCCAGGAGACATGCATGTGTCCCTGTGTGCTCCCAGTGTCCAGCAGCTTCTGATATTGGGCCTTCCTGAGCCAGACAAGGTAGGGTTTTCATACAGTAGTCTTCATTTGACTCCTTCTCTGTCAATATGTTTAGTCTTTGTGTGAAGTGATTTATGTTTCAGGGCATGTGCTGAGTTATGGAGTACAAGCCTCTAACAGTTGTGTGTTCTGATGCATACAAAAGTCTTTGTACAAGCATTGGTTTGGATAGTATTATTCATGGCTGCTGAAGAGGTCATGGCATAGATGTAGCCTAAAATACCAAACAGATGCTGTATGTGCAGTATGCATGGAATAGAGTTAGTTTTAACTCTGCCTTTAGTCTTGGCAATAGGCAATAAATTCTCTAGTGAGTACATTGGTTGTCCTTTTATGGCATTTTAACCTGATTCCCAAGGCTATTGTGAACTCTTAATATTAGAGGTATTCCATTGCTTCTTTCCAGGTACTCTTTGGCTTTGAAGCTTTTACCTGAAGCTTGATGCTATCCTAGTCACAAAGATGAAATTACATTTGAACAAGTGGCACAATAAATAAACTTCTGTACCCAAAAAATAGGTCCTGCATTGCAGAAAGCATCAAGAGATGCCCCTTTCTCCCAGTCTTACTGTGGGTTACATCCTAAAGAGAAGTTGCTGCATACAGACTGTAACACCGATGTAGAAAAATCAATGTTTTATTTATGAAGCTAAAGGAAAATCTAAATTTTTTAATCCTCTATAGCCAATTTATTTATGTGTCAACAGTTGTACGGGGGGGAAAAAGAAAAACAGCCACCAAAAAACCCCACAGCACCACTCTTCACCCCTAAATCTGGCTCTTTTGGGGTTTATTAACCTTTAGGGGACAGTAATTTCCTTGCGGCACCGGGATGTCAGCCTTAGCCTGCACCTGGGACAATGTGGAAGACTGTCAAGGAAATATTTTTACCTCTTCTTTGAAGAAGGGGAAAATATTCATGTACAGAGTATGATGGCATATATAAAAGGACAGAAGAGTTAGCTGTACAGGTTACTAGAATAAAGTGATTTGAAAGGCTGAAGCATACCATGAGGTGACTGCCAGGGGAATAAAGCTTTCCTGGAAGCTTGGGAAATGGACCTGAAATCTCTTGTGCCTGTGGAGTTAGCATAGTGGGAAACACTGGGATGGTCTATTTTTCCCTGCTTGCAGGTGGTGAAAGCAAAAGATTGAATTTTTAAGTTCTATATTATTCAGGCCTTTGGAGGATTAAATAGCAAGATTAGAAAATAACTAGCAAGACCAAAAGAAACATGGTGTTTTGGAGATAAGGGTATCTTCAGTAGTCTCTTAGATACTAAGGAGTGGTTCTCTTTCTCTGCAATGTTACAGCGAATTTAAACATGTCAATTTGTCAGTCTGCATTGCAAGGAGGAAAAATACACAAACTAAACCCAAGAAAGCAAACATACACACACCCTGCCTGCCTCTAGGCATATCTGCCTATGAAATTATTTTAAGTAATTTTAAAGAATTTTGTTAACAGATGCAAATGTAGATCAAACATGTTTTCTTCACTGTTTTAAAATCATCTGATGATTTGGCAAACTGCCTTTAGTATGCTGTGTGCCAGAAGTTGGGGAGTTGGAAAATGAGAATTTAGGAGAGTATCTAGTCTCATGTTGCCCATCTGGTGCATTTAGGAATACGTTTTTTCTAGGAATTGAGAACTAGTTAATAGGGAGACAGATCCAAGTTTTATTTTCTGCAGGGAGAAGTAAGAGAGGAAGATCCTGGATACAAAAATAACTTTATGTGGATTTGCTCTTTCTCTGCTTATTTGGGGGGAGGGAGGGAAGGGCAGATGGAGGAAAGAGTTCTATATCATCCATAAAAACAAAATAAAAGAAAATTGACCTGTTGCTGACTCCTGAGTCTGTAGCTTTACTATAGTGAATCATCATATAGTGGTCATAAATTTATCCTAAAATGTCCTAATAGGCAGCTATTCTATTTGAAGTTCTTTATTCTAAAGTGTTTATAGTATTTTTTTGTTTAATTTATTGTCTTTTTTATTAAAGATACTAAG